CCCAGTGTCCCCTTCCATCTAGGTATACCCATATGCCAGCAACAAGCCACACCATCTCCATGACCACTAAGCATTTCAATGACCGACAGGTCTTAGGTGTTTCCTTTAGTCCCCTGAGGCACATAGCCAGAAGTATAAAGCCCAGGGAAGGGAGTGTGGCTTAACCCTGCAGCTGCACAGAGGCCCGGGCTGGGGTCTACCTACAACAGACTTTTCAAACAGTGATCAACATCCTAGAAACCCCTATTTTAAAAAATGCATGCAGAGCTGGCTCTGGGTATAAAGGATGTAGAGATACAGACAAATGTATAACAGTATTATATATAACAATATAAGTATACAATAATGCAAATATCTACTATACTTTCTCTTACATGCCAAAATATCAGCCACCTGGATAAGAAGTTACTACTTAAAGGACTCTCCTAGAGTTTATAAACAAACAATATACTGGATTATACAGAGATCTAAAGACAGTGAACTGTTTTTAGCAGAATGATATAAAAACTTGTGCCCAATAAAATCTGTTCTATAAAAGCTAAAGCATTTCAACCATGAACTACCATCTCTCCTGAACATACAGAGCCTTAAAGGATGAATCAAGTCAACAAAAGAACTACAGGGTCCACTTAGAATAACAAACTCAACAAAACATTTTTAACAAAAAAGCCTGTGTAATTTGCCTTTTGCTATATGAAATTTAAAAGCTATTCCTATCACTTGTCTTAATGTGCAGTATTCTACTTACCAAAATAATCAGTTTTCAAAATGAATTGAAGAAAATTTCTCAACACATACAACAAGATCTTCAAAATCTCTGCCGGATTCATCAGTTTTCTCACACAAGACTACAAATAACCTCCCAAAAGTCTGTCATTAATATTTCACCTATTATTCCCTATTAAACCTTCTTACGCCAGGTCTTAGTAATTGTTTAGAAAAACATCTATGTGCAAAGGGAGCTTTAGTAAGTATTTTATGAGTAGTTCATTTCTAATCAAAATCAATGAAGCACTTTCTACTTTAGGACCAATACTTAGAAAACGGTGGCATCATGACTCACTCAGATCTATATCCAATATCCTCAAAGAAGAAATTCACGTCGGAAGCTACACCATGTGAAATGTACAAAATTACTGTCTGAAATTTTAACTCTACTGTCACTACCTGAAGCAAAACTATGTCAAAAACAGCCAAGAAAGCAACTGTCTTCCAAATGCAGAGTCTCAGATATGAAGACCAAATTGTTTCACAGTATTAATCTTCTCTTCTGTGAGTGAAATCAGAGTTGTACTACCCAATGAACGGAATTCATTTTCTCATTACTTGTAAGGATAATCTGAAAAAAGCTATATGAAAGGATGAGGCTAAATCAATTTAACAATAAATCATTAATATGATCTATAAACTGACCTTGCCATTTCCTTCCCCACATTTTGAAGATACACAAAATGCACTTTGGAGTCATATCATTTTCATTTCCAAACTGCAGAAGACCTCTCATATGGGAGTGGCCACCTTCCCTCCCAAAACCCTAAAGGGAGAAGCTGGTCAGTTTGATAGGAATTTATGCACCATCACCCACACTTTATTTTAATGAAGGAAATACCCCATTGGTGTCCAGAACTGGTAGTCTTAGGATGACGCCATGTGTCTGTAATGGTAGACAAGAAAAACGAAACCATACAAGATCATTAGTTTTGAAGAAAAGCTCAAAAATAATGTGTCTAGGTGGCCTGAATAAGTTCTTCTTATGTGTACATGTTTTGTGTGTGTGTGTGTGTGTGTGTGTGTGTGTGTGTGTAAACTTATTTTTCTTTCACCTTGTCTCTTCTTCCTCTACTGCATCGAGTTGAGATCAGTGTACTTTTCACTATTTGGGAAAAGAAAAATTACCATTTTTTTTAAATACAAGGCAAGATACCCTTCTAGTCAATGAGGACAATTAAACCATTTCAGTCATTTTAATCCACAGTTAGTAGAGTATTCAAGGAATTCACACCAATTTTAATATTTGCCAAAGTAATAATATAACAAGCAAGTTTTAAAAATATAGTTTTTTAATCCAAAAGTATATTCCAAAGTCAAAAGGGAAAGGTATAATGAATGTCCATATCTATTCAATAATTAGGACAAAACTTAGTTTAACTGAATAGATTTACCAAAACTAAAGATAAGTGTGTTCTCTCAAATTCAACATAATACAGTTTAAATCGGGCTCTCTGGGATTTTTCTCAGTACTTCTCAGTAGGCTGAAAGGACTTAATATGGTTACCTATATTTTCCTAAATAAAGAAAATATTAGAATCCAATTTTCTTGTATCTTTCCATTGACCCAAACTATTACAGTACTTCTTTAACTAAACTCTTCATTTGAAAACCTATCTATTTTAAGGTGATGAATCACAATTATGCAAGGTGGCAGAAACGACAGAGGGCAGCATAAGCATGAGTTGTAACATAATTCTTAAGATTTAGGAGAATTCTCCAAGTTAGTATAGCCTTGGCCTTTAAATTACTAACATATATTTCAATCAAAGATTCCATAGGAAAAAAAAATTAAGGTAATTAATGGAAATTCTTCACCAAATCTAATAATTAAAGAGTGGGGGAGTGCAAACTCACTTACAGCAATATCCTATGCTATGCTACCACTATCCATATGACTTATTCCAATCAAAAATAATAGAAAAAGTATGTTTTTTAAAAAAATTTATATCCACATTCTCAAAATCCACAGGTCATCATTCAAAACTCCAAATCTTTCTTACTCATGAGTAACTCATTATTCCAAAATGTATTTTTAATCAATTTTTGTTTGTTGGCAGCTGCCCAGTACTAATTTTTTTTTTTTTTTTTTTTTTTTTTCCTCTTTGAGACCGGCCGCACCGTGCTCAGCCAGTGAGCGCTGTGAGCGCACCAGTCATCCCTATATAGGATCCGAACCCGCGGCGGGAGCGCTGCTGCGCTCCCAGCGCCGCACTCTCCCTAGTGCGCCACGGGCTCGGCCCAGTACTAATTATTTTAAGTATAAATAAGTAAGCCCTTTAAAAGTAGGATTTATCACTGAGGAAAAAAAGGAATGAAATATTCAACCAGATTTAAGCATGATTTAGGAAAATTAAAGTTATTCTATGACAAGAAGAAAACTTAATTTTACTCAATTTTATACTGATAGTTGCCATTACAGTATATCCCCCAGCTACTAATGAGTAACCTTTCCCCAGATTCACACTGATTTCATACACCAGTAATCTCAGGACATCACCTTCTGCACAAAGGAGAGTAATTTTCACCTAACAATCAAATTAAGCTAGATAAAGCTCTCCTTGTGCATGTGTTTTGAATAAAGGAAAGATTTGGTGGTAAGTACATCAATCTTCTTTCTTGTCACTTTTCTCCTTTTATTTATAACATATAATTAGCCTTTCTTTGACACTGTAAAACTTGTCATTAATAATTACCATATCCTCCTCATACATATCATTTCCAAAGTACCTCACAAAAGTAATAACCACTCACAATTATGGGGTGCTTACTATGTGTCACACACTATTCTAAGTAATTGTCATATATTAACTTGGTTAATTGGTAATTGTCATATATTAACTTGGAATTATTATTATCCTCATATTATAAATGGAGAAACTGAGTCAAGGACAGGTTGTGACATACCCAGGGACCCATGGCTAATAACTGCTAGAGATGGTATAAGATACATCAGTCATAGTAAGAGGGTACGACACATCCCCATGTCAGACAACTCAGGAACCAAACCATAATAGAATTGTTGCCACCATATATGTTCACCTTCCTTGATTACATTAGGACCAAGCTGAAGGCGTAAACAAGAGAGATTAAAATCTCCAAAGTATGATAAAAAGTGCAGCTCCACAGTAAAGCAAGAGAACATGGCTAGCACTTTTTATAAACTCCTAGGCAATTTTCACAGGAAAAGGCATGACAGAGTAGATGCCCTCGTATGAGAGCCGAAACACAAGGGTCACAATCCAGTCAATGGGGGAATGTCGATTTAACTATCAGCTCCTCCCTCAAACTCAGTGCTGTTTTATCTTCTTGTCTTACCTGATTCTCCAAATACTCTTTCCAATCAGAAAAATATTTTTTCACACTAACCCTCTCAACTGACTGACACAAATCTATCTTCTCTAAGTTTGAGCAGAAGTGAGTCTTCTGGGCCGGCCCGGTGGCGCACTCTGTAGAGTGCGGCGCTTGGGAGCGTGGCGGCGCTCCCACCGAGGGTTTGGATCCCATATAGAGACCGGTCTGCTCACTGGTTGAGCGTGGTGCGGGCGCGACACCGAGGGTTATGATCCCGTTGCCGGTCGCGGTACGGGCGCAACACTGAGGATTGCGATCCCGTTACCGGTCACAAAAAAAGACAAAAAGAAAAAAAAGAAGTGAGTCTTCTGAAGACCTCAATATCCCCTGTACAAATTCACAAAGGTTTCAGATTAAGAGAACTGAGAGACCCTCATTCTGGAATACAAAGAATTATAGCAAAGTTGGGAGCCTCCCCACTCAATTCTTCAGTGTCCACAGCGATCACGCTGGAACAAGGCACACTTCACTTCACACAGCTTTGAGGTACATATCTAACTGTTAGGTTCATGAGGAAACTTCTCCTTCTACTTTAGACACTCTTAGACAGAATTTTTTTTTGTTTTTGAAACAACATGTGTAACTTTTGGAAAGTTAACTTCAAGAGTTTTCCTACTGAAAATATTGAGGACATCTAAGTATCCAGTCAGCATTAACTTTTGTATTAACAAATCTCACAAAAATGAGGAGAAAAAGGAATTAAACCAACTTTTATATTACTAAGTAAAGTCCCCAGTGAAAATAACCTAACAATATCACACGCTTCTTCATAACTTTGTTAATGTTGTTGGGAAACACTGCAGTCTCATGTCATTTAAGAACAATGTACAAAAACTCACAAATGTTTTCAGTAAAACATAAACAGACAAAAGAAATACCTCAAGTTCCACCAGAGCTGCAGTTACTGCATCTGTCGCGAGAGCTCCAGCCTGTAGCTTTTCAATTGCCTATGAAACCAAGGGGAGAGAGTATTCACTGTAAAACGCCAACTTCTCAAACATACCCATAAACTTTCAAAAGCCTTAAAGAAGTGTAGGAGATGTTTAGAGTTAATAAAAATTGATCACTAGTTCCATTCAATAGTTTAAGACAAACTACTTAGATTTAAAACAAGCCAACGTTTATATTCAGGTTAATTTATGATATAGCTTACTGAATATTATTCAAATTAAGACAATGAATAAAATCTAGCCACTAAATGCAAAGTGCAAGGAATTTAGTAAGTAAAAGGGTTTCATTCACCACACAGGACAATTCAAAATAGCCACAGAAATTATACGAATTCTGTTTGGCTTAAATATCTTGACAATTCATATTTTATATAGATAATTTAATCTCAAGCTACACTAATAATTTCTCCTCCCATTGTTACTGCTCTTTGCACCCATACCTGTAAAACTCAGTGACTCTCAGTCACGGAGGCATGTCAGAATCCTCAGATAGAAGCATATATTTGACAAACGTTTTTGATACTATAATGTATTTTATATCAAGATAAACAAATCATAGTCTTTTGTAATATAAATTACAGAGAGTAAAGGTCTATAAAATCACCTTGCCTTCTTGGGCATAAATTAAGAGAGGAAATAGAGAAGACAAACCGGTTCCTAAACAAACTATTAACACTCCAATTTAGTCAAAAAAGAGAAAGCTCACAAACAGAGAGTAAAGGTCTATAAAATCACCTTGCCTTCTTGGGCATAAATTAAGAGAGGAAATAGAGAAGAGAAACCGGTTCCTAAACAAACTATTAACACTCCAATTTAGTCAAAAAAGAGAAAGCTCACAAATTAAGAATTGTATTCTTTATTCAACTTTAAAGAAGCTCACTGATTTTACAAATTGAAAAGGCTAATTATACAATCCAAATGTATTAGATTTCTAGGATTATAGCTGTATAAAAGTAAAACTTATTTCTTTTCAGATAATGAACAGATTTCACACTTTGAAAAATAAGAAAGGCTGACTGGTTAGCTCAGTTGGTTAGAGCACAGTGTTATAATACCAAGGTCAAGGGTTCAGATCCCTATACCAGCCAGCTGCCAAAGAAAAAAAGAAGAAAAACAAGAAAAAATATAAAATACTAGAGAACCTTTGCCTTTATTATTCTAAATTTCAAAAAAATAATAAATTCCCTATAACAAAATACTCTTACTTAGTTATGGGATTTCATTCATACGAAAAAGCTTGAATCTCCAATAAAGCATAATCTTTCTTTTAGATGGTATGTAAATATAAATGAAGAGAGCTCAGACAGACCCATATTTACTTAATATACAATATCTAATTAACATTCTATTTTCATGAAAAGTAACGGGAAGTTTGCCTACTAGAGTATATAGTCAGAATCAAAATAAAAACAAACAATATTTCTTGAGTCCATTCCTTCCCCCAATTTAAGTATTCAACAATTTAGCAAAACCTCAAAAACCAAAGAGAAAAAAAAGCACACGGAGTATAAGGACAAAGCTAAACTCAGAAATGACAATGAATCTGCTATGAAACAAAGTACGTGATGAAACACAGAAGGAAAAAGTTCAGAATAATCTAAGAAAAGCACCCATTTTAATTTGTATTATCTTTTTCTCTATCATAGCAAGACATACTGGCTGCCTTTCAGCTGTTTTCCCTACCCCTTCTATAGAGTCCGATGCCTTTGCAAAGATTAAAAGAGATATGATTATGTGCCCACAATTCCAAAAATATAGACTTTAATCTGTGGAAAAAGGGATAGAGCAAAGCATCATTTGGAGAATTAAAAACACAAAACAAAGCAAGACCCCACACATATAAGGAAAATAATTCTGTGGTACAAACCAAAGACTGTCCTATAAACAAAACCTTAAAATTGGGAATTTCAAGGTAATGTTACTTTAGGTTCAAAACTGATACATTTAGATCATACACATTCTGTCCATACCTTCTGACAAGCTCGCTTGCATACATGTTTATATTCCTTGGCTTTGGATTCAGAATGATAACCTGCACCTGTAGTAAAAAAATAAAAACCAATTGTTAGTTACCATTAAAATATCAATGACCTTGTTTATATTATATAAATAGTCCATACAAACTGATGCTGTCCTAGTGAAAATAAAACTATTGCCCTAACTGTATGGAGTTTTAAAAATCTAATAGCTTCTTTCCCTACCTGTTTAATATCATGCCCTGTCTCTTTTTTCAAAAGCTCATTTCCTGCCAGAGGCCTTAAGAAATAGCTCACATCTCCAAAGAGGCTTCACCAAGGTCACCTCCCCTTCTCCTTTTGAGAGTCTCCCTCCAAAGACTGGAGCTCTTCTTTTGGTTTGGAGCCGAAAACCCCAAAGTGTCAGGGACAAGGTCCCTTCAAGTTCCCCTGGAAATAGCTCACATCTCCAAAGAGGCTTCACCAAGGTCACCTCCCCTTCTCCTTTTGAGAGTCTCCCTCCAAAGACTGGAGCTCCTCTTTTGGTTTGGAGCCGAAAACCCCAAAGTGTCAGGGACAAGGTCCCTTCAAGTTCCCCTGTGCTAACCTTTAGAAAGCCCCTGCCATATGGGAAATTACTGTTTAGAATCCAGAATTCCTGAGAATAACTTCAGAAAACTAGGTAGACTCTGAATAATATTTGAAGTTGAAGGGTCTTACAGCCCAGCTGTCCACAACCTCCACCAATACCACTACTCCCAAGCAAATACTTTGCATCCTCTCACCACCTGGAATGTTGCTCAGGAGGTCTCTGAAACATCAGTGATAGCACATTCACAACTTTCTATTAGAAATCCTGGTGGATTCCTGTGTTTTAATAAAATACCCAGGAACTTCCTCAAAAGAATGGCTCTGAATAAATTTGATTCCTCTAAGAGGATTCATACTTGCTTAGATTAGGGACTTGAAAATAATCTAAACAAGAAAGAAACAAAGACAAGAACCCTTAAATTCTCTTGATAATTAGGCCTCTAATCAAAGTTCTTTAACAGTGCAGTTAACTACCTATGCCTCACCTCCCCAAAGCCCCATGAGGTCCAGGGTAAGGAAGGTTAAGAACTTCACCGTTAAGCCTCACGACTCTTCCTGTGGGTCTGCAGACTCTGACACAAACCTAGCCCACCTTTCCTCAAGGCAGAGAAAGAATTGGCCCACAAAACTATGGTACAAGGACCCAGGAATAGCAGACAAGATGCCCAAGCAACCAGAATCCATAATATATCCAAGTCGTAATCCTGTCTCTCAAGAGAACTCTGAACATTCAGAGAGCCACTGCAGTATTTAATAGGCCTCTCTTCATGGTTCTCTAAGAATAGGTGATCCCAGGTCTGTTGTCTTAGATCTCAGAAGCCCCAATATTTCAGTAGTGTTTTCCAAAGCATGGGATATTAATGCCAAAGAGATGAATTTAGTGTACGGATGATGGCATTAAATAGCATTAACATGTAAAATCCTTCTGATAAGAATAGTGAAAAATTCTCCACATAGGCCCAGCATATCTTTAATATCTGGTTAATACTTGCTAATTTCCCTGTTCAACAAAGGAATGGCAGGCTCAGGATCCAAGCTACTGACTCAATAGCATCTGGTTAAATTTTACATTGTTTTATTTGCACTCTGTTTAGTTATTTTTCTTTATGGCAAGTGATAGTGATATTTCACTTAAATAAATATGTTTCATCTTTCAAATTTTAAAATAAAAAAGTGTTTCATTTTTTTAATCTTAGGTAAACTAGTGTAAGTAGTATACAGACCTGGGAAAAACCAAGAATCTACTACTCAAACGATTAAAGTTTGAGCAAGTCTACTCTAGTGCTAAAAAAAACAGCTCTACTGGATGAAGATTTGAATTTTTGTCCCTTAAACATGCAAGATAATACATTTCTGTACAATTAATCTATCTGACCTTCTAACAACTTAGAAGGTCATGTCACCCTTAATACACACAATTCCCTGCCATAATCCAGATTTCCTCCTATTCCACTGGCCTCCAGCACCAACCTTACCTGAGATATATTACCATCTAGTGTATGTCTGAGAGAGGAAGGACAAAGTCATAATAGTCACAGAAAGCAACGCTTTCCAATTAATCAAAAGCTGTATGTTATTGTTTGTTACAAATTTCAGACCTTTCTTGTACGCTTTCCAAATTCTCTGAAACAGTAACTCACTGGGTACTACAGAAGATGCGTCAGCACCATAGTACAGTAAGAACACCAGACTAGGAGTCTGAAGGCAAGAATTCTAGTCCCAGGTCTATTTTTAACTTAATTATTTTTATAAATAATTAAGCACCTGTAAGAAAAGGGAATTAAATCTGTTATTTTTTTAGATCCTTCTGGATTAGATTCTTTATAGGCTTTCAAGACTGCCCACTCTAGATACAGCCAAAGGTTACTAGCCAGGCAGAATACCAGTTTCACAAGAAGAAACAGGTCCGCTCCTTACTCCATATTAAAGCTCTTATTCTCTAAATACACTCCAAATCCTGCTCCTATCTTGCTTGACTGTCTGGGGAAAGCTAAAAGGAGACCAGCCACTCTTCTCCTCACATAGATTATTAAGTTTAGATTCTGAATTCAGGAAAGTAAAAATGGCCAAAGAAAAAAGAGCTTGCTGAGCAGAACTGGGCAGAGATGCATTGCTCTGAAATCCAAGACCCTTTAAAGATGGGGGACCCAAGGTTTGAACTTGACTATGTCTGTCCTCAGGATCCTCTGAAACAAAGAGATCACAGGCTGGTGTGATGCCAAGAGCACCAGACTGGGACAGAAGGGCTCACTTAAGAGTTTCTCGGCCTGGCTCTAGTACCAACTAAGAGTGGGGCTGAAGTCACTTAAGACACTTAATCTATCTGGTCTTAATATTCCTCATTTATAATATGAAGAAAGCAAACTAGCTCTAAGATTGTGTAATTACACTGTAAAACGATCATAATCTAACATGGAATTAACAAAATTTTTTCAGCAGCATTATTTTTAGAAACACAAACCACAGTTTAAAAATTACCTTGTCTGGTCCTAACACTACCTAACCAGGTCAAGGGTTCAGATCCACATACAACAGTCAAAAAAAAAAAAAAAATTACCTAACCTAAATATGTCTTTTATTACTTGGGGTAAATGTAAATAATAGGGTAGGAGAGTGAAGAAGACATAGGAAGAGCTGACATTATAAGATCTTCCAACTTGGAGTAGGAGGTCCTTGCTATATGGAAGTCAATCTCTTTGGTTCCAATTCCTCTCTGGCAGTTTGCCTCCTCCACATGTGAAATGCAATTCTCAGTGTACTTCAAGGCAAAAAATAAAAATAAAAATCCACATTATTTTCATCTTCCAACTCATCCATGAAGGGCTTACCTGCATGCACCAGCACAAAGCCCCCTCGTTTCTCTTTATGGGACTGCTTTGCTTCCAACTCTTTGGCTGTTATTTTAACAGCCGAAACCTGAGATGATCTGGAAGGTAGCCCTTCTCCAGAACTCATCCCCTTCTCCATGGTCATTCTCCAAGATTACCATCTTCTTTGGGAAAAGAGCATACTTCCAACCAAAAGTAATTACAAGAGAGGAATTATCCTAGAGGAAAACAGGCAAAGATGGTATGCATTTCTTTCCACCAATACACACATTACTTACACAAATTCATGCAAAGATACCTTTTAAAAAATCTATTTATAAATTAAGTTGGGTAATACAAAAAATATAAAATGTTTAAAGTTTAAATCTCTCTGTCCACTGACAGTACTTGCTTAAAGTCATAAACAGAAGAACTATTGGAAAACGACCTTAAACTGAGTCCAAAAATATTTTATCTTCCTATTATCTACATTGAAATAATCCTAAATAACTTAATCCTATTATCTACATTGAAATAATCCTAAATAACTTAAATATCACTTTCTACTCCCTCCAAATCAAGTGCTAATAACCGCTGGGACATTCTGGAATCACAAGTGGTGCTGGCAATATCACTGAAATTTGATATAAAGCCTAGATTACTACTTACTTAAATAAAAGAACAAAGCAACACACAGATTAACACCTACCTGTGAAGAACCTCTTAAGGAAATCAGTTTAATACTCCATAGCTCAATTGTAAAACACAAATGCTAACGATATTGTATGACTAAAGCAAGAAACTAAAATAACATTTCTGCAAATAGTTGTCAATTTTCATGAAAAGCTTTACTGAGGTTCTCCACAGATAAACGATGAGACATAAAATTTAATAAAACAAATTACAGGCAACTTATGCCAGAAAGCTGCTAATTTCTCTCACTATTTATTACCAGCTCACAAGCTTCTAGAAATCCTGGCTTAATAACAATAAAGGCTGCAGAACACATTTCAGATTGGGAAAATTGGATCATTAAAAATTGACACAGATTTAAAGGAAATCTGAGTAAGGTGGTTGAAACTACTTAATACCCAGATTCACACTCTTAGGTAAAATTCTGCACCTTATACTAAATTGAAAAAGGAAAAGGAACAAGAGCAAGTCTTCTGATATAAAGAAGTGATTTAGCTGCCTAATCCAAAAAGCAGAGCTATTCAAAGCATGGTCTGCATCTCTGTGTTTGTTACCATTCCACAAGAGATTATTTTAATATGTTACTTTATATTAAAATATAAATGAACAATGAACACAATTTTCACAATTCTTTCCTAATTTCCTTGTGTTATTATATCTTTGAAAACATTTTATCCACTAAATCTAACAAAAATTTGAGCTTTTTTTGTTGTTGTTTTGTTTTTGCCGTTTTCTGCATTTACAGAAGTATTGGCCCAAAATAGATTGAACATTTTAAAAAGCTGGTCCTTTATACCAAAGATACTCTAAGAAATACTGGAATATAGTATTTTTAACTTCCCTTAATTCCTGGTTAAAAAGAGTCCATCTAATTTTTATTATATACATTTCATATATAGGACAAATAGTTTAAAATCAATTATATACACACACACTGTTGTATTAAAAGGCTTGCATACATTCATAAAAGCAGGGAACAAATTTATTACAGAAGTGATTTTGATTAAATAACAGTAAATTAAAATGCCTATTTATGTTTGTGTTTCATGGTGGCACCTATTTCCCTAATGTTTTTCTTCCAATTACTTTACAAAAATCTGCCTCAATCATTTTTATTTTATTTTGGTTATTTCTCACAATATTTCTCTCAGATAGGCTACCACTTAGTCATGTATCAGTTGATGAACTGGAATTTAGTGGTTAATCTGCCAACCTACACATGCCATCATGTCTGTATCATGCCATCATGTCTGGCCCGGCCATGAAATGAGTTTGGGCCCACTAGTCTAAGAACACAAACATAGATTGAGTGAAAACTCAGGCTTTGGAAAACTAAGAGCTTCAAGGGTCCCCAGTAGCTCGCTATGATCGTATAGTGGAAAATTAAGAGCTTCAGTTAAAATGAAAACACATCTAAGCAGTACAGATTATTAAACCTCAACCTACTCTGACTCACTGTCATCTGATATATTTTTTCATAAATAAGAAATAATAACATTTACATTTTATAATAAATAAGAAAATAATTATAACATCTACATTTTATATAAGGTTTGATGTACTAGGCATTTTAATATATATGAGAGATTTTAAAACATTGTTTCTCAATGTTGTCTAAAAATAATAAAATGTGGAAAACTGATTAATATGCTATTTATTGAGCAATCTACCCTCCCTCAGAAACTATCAGAAATGTATTTATTTAGCAAACCATATAATCTCAACAACCCCCTCCAAAAATGCTGGCCCCAAAGTTCTGCTGGACTAGGAAAGGAATTCAAGTAAATGAACTATCCAATATACAACTCAGGCCTCCAACTCCCAATAGTTACTGAAATATTTTATACTCAATCAGAAATGAAGCAATTTCTACTCAAACATCAGTTTTTGTTTAACTCGGAACTCATTAAAGGTCTGACTTGTCTAATAAATAGTTCCACTAAATGACAAAAAATTAAAAAAAAGATTTGAATGGGCAAATCTCAGAATAATTACATAATGGTTTAAACAAATAAAAGATGTTAAACGTCACTCAAAAGAAAGATGCAAAATAAAACTACACTCAACTACTATTTAACTTAGATTGGGAAACATCAAAAAATAATATAACATGTTTGGAGGCAGAGAAACAGGAGCTCCCATAAATTGCTAGTGGCAGCAGAAACTCGTACAACTCAACACAGGCAATCTGGCAAAATCAATCAAAATTAAGATATGGACCAATAATGTCTTGATGGAGGTGGTTAACAACAAAGGCAACCATTGGAAAAAAGGAGGAAGCTCTTGATATACAGATATGGGGCAGTCTCAGAGATATTTGGTAAGTTTAAAAGGCATGAAAAAAAAAATTTTTTTTTTTTTGATGGCTGGCCAGTATAGGCATTGAACCCTCTGGACCTCGGTGTTATCAGCACCACACTCTAACCAACTGAGTTAAGCAGCCAGCCCATAAAATTAACTTTCTGAAAGGCATGATACACAAGTATATGTAATAGCATATTTGGGAGGGGGGAAGAACACAGCTAAATATATATGTAAAGTATAAATCTGAAAAGATATACCAAAATAGTATAATATGGTTACCAGAAGATTTGGATGACTAATGAGCAAGGGTAGGATGGAAATTTCACTGTTCACCCTTTTGTACCTTTTAAATTTGAACCATCTAAATGTATTACTTACAAAAAAAAATTTACTCATTTGTTTATTTATGGGAACACCAGGTAAGAAGCTAAGTCCCAGATGCAAAATAGGATAAGCTGGCTGGCTCAGCAGATTAGTGTTGGCTCAGCAGGTTAGTGTGCAGTCTTGTAAAACCAAGGTCAAGGGTTCAGATCCCCCTATCAGCCAGCCAGAAAGAAAAAAAAAGAACAAGCCAATGAGGTCACACTTGCCATAGCCCAATCCCACTTAGGGAAGGAATACACAAAAACATGGCCGATCAACAGTACTGACCCAAGGGATTTCTTTTGTTTTCATTTTTCTGAATCTTGAACTTTTGAGGATGCACAAACTATGCCCAAGTTTGGTAATCCAAATTGCGGGGCGGGGCGGGGGGGGAATCACAGTGAAGACTAGGGAGGTAAAAATAAATCACAACTGTAGCTTAACATCAAATATGCCTGTGATGTTTCTATCATATAGACAATCATTACCACAAATTATTTGAAATTGATGAAGTATGCTTACACCAAGACATTGATCCACAAGAACAATATCTACGACTTCAACTTCAACTAAGCTTTGAGTAACACTCAACACAAAAGGTTTCCAATGAAAGAGATGCATAGGCATGTAACAAATTTACACAACAAAAAACAATTCTATAGACCATTTTTATAATCCCTTTATTTCTGAATAATATATTTCAATATGGACATTTTGCAATTTTCTACCAGTAATGATATTAAAATTCATTATGAATATTATTTCTAAAAAACACTGGCAATTTGTCCATCCTCTGCAATAGTTGCTCAAAAAGCTATTACCCAGCAATTCCACCCCAGGTGTATATACCCAAGATAACTAAAAATGTATGTTCACACGAAAACTTGTACACAGATGTTGATAGCAACATTATTAATAATAGCTGAAAACAACCCAAAGGTCCATTAACTGATGATGGATAAACAAAATATGGTATATTGATACCATGGAACATTATTCAGCCATAAAAAGGAATGAAAACGAAAACTTGTACACAGATGTTGATAGCAACATTATTAATAATAGCTGAAAACAACCCAAATGTCCATTAACTGATGATGGATAAACAAAATATGGTATATTGATACCATGGAACATTATTCAGCCATAAAAAGGAATGAAGTATTGATACAAATTATGGCATGCCTGAACATTGGAAACAATGAAAGATGACAGACAGAAAAGGTCATATATTGTATAATTCCATTTATATGAACTGTCCAGAACAGGCAAATCCATAAGAGACAGACAGTAGATTAGTAGTTACTTAAGGCTGCAGAGATGGGGAGGAGAACGGTGGGGAGTGACAGCTAAATGGGGGAAGATTTCTTTTTATGGTGATAAAAATGTTCTAAAATTGATTGTGGTAATGGTTGCACAACTGTGAATATACTATATGCCATACATCTGTACACTTTAAATGGGTGAATTGTCTGATACACAAATTATATCTTAATAAAGCTGTTTTTAAAAAAAAAGTCTTCCCATATTTGTATCTTTACCAAGTTACTAAACCCAATGGCCTTTCCTTAATCTTCTGCTTGCAACCTTTGATTTTCTAAATCATGTACTCTCCTTGGCAAGCATGCCAATCTACTCTCTTAGCTCTTCATGACCCCTCTGACCCCATTCTCAAATGTCTCCTTTCTACCAATCTTTCAAAACTATCCTCTCAGCAAATAGATGATTCCTAACTCTTTATTGTCTGTCTTGGGCTCTAGCCACAAGTTCTAGGGACAGCTCAACCTGATCCCCCTCACTCTCAGCCTACCCAAAACAAGCTTGTTTTTCCCCCAAAATCTAGTTCTTTCCACATTATCTCTTACTTTACTTAATAGCACTACCCTTTTCTAACTCACCTTGATGTCATTTCGGACTGCACCAAAGTTTCCAAATCCGATAGATTTCTCCCTCAAGCATTTAAACTTCCTTTCCCTCAACACTGTTCAGCCCATATACCTCTCAGTATAATATTACAAAAAGCATTTTAACCTTTCTCTCCAAATGCAGGCTATCTTAAAGCAACCATCTACAAAAGGCTGCCAAAATATTCCTCATAAAGGACAACTCCAATCAAAACAAATACCATGCTAAAAGGCATGAGCAGGCAATACATAAAAGAGTAAATATAAACTCAATATCTAATATTAAGGAGAGAATATTCAAAGAAATAAAAATAAAAATGAAATTTTTCTAACTAGCACTGTACTGGCATCATAAACTGATGTAACTATTCTGAGAAAGGAATCTGTCAGTAAGTAAAGAGGCTTAAGATGTATAATTTTGTATATAACATCTTTCCAGAGATACTCTATTATGAATCAGTCTATACAGATACATGTTAACGATACTATGAATACCTCTAAAAAGAACTAGGAGACTGAGGGTCAAGAATAAAAGGGAAACTTGATTTTCTCCTAATAACCTTTTGTATTTGGATTTTTTTTTTACTTGGTACTATCTACTAAAAAGAGATTTAAGTTGGCCACCTCTGAGACAAATATGAGTGTAAATTAACTTGATTATCAAGGCCAGGAGAGAAACTCAGAATAAAACATAGTTTCTGCTCCAGGAACTTTCACAGCACTAATTTAAGGTCTTAATCTTGACCTCATCTCTCTCAAAGATTGTTTTATTTTCCTACTGCATATGATGACGCTTCTTTTTTCTTTAAACCGTTTAGATGACTGCCATATATCCTGTTATTGTGGTGTTGAAGTTTTTTACTCTATGTTTGCTCAAGTCTTCCAGAAGCAGTTGAAGGAGGAAGTCAGTCATAGAACCCACCCAGCAAAAAGCTTTTACAGTAGAAATCCAAGCCTTAAGCTAATGCAACTGACAAAAAAGAACTTCGTTGTTACTTTTAATATTATGACATTGAAGGTTTAATGCCTCATTAAATGAGCTCCAGAACATAATTAATCTTGATCCAGTAATTCCATTTCTGAGAACATTTTCTACCAAAATAACTTTAAATACAGAAAAGGTTCTATGCCTTTTAGGCTGTTTTTAATACAGGATAATTTAGAATAGCAAAGATCTAGGCACAACCTAAATGCCCAACACAGAAAAATAGTTAAGAAAATGATAACCTATACATTTATGGTCAACTGATTTTCTTTTTTTTTTTTTTTTTTTCAAAAAGATGACTGGTAAGGGGATCTTAACCCTTGACTTGGTGTTGTCTGCACCACGCTCACCCAGTGAGCAAACCGGCCATCCCTATATGGGATCAGAACCCATGGCCTTGGTGTTGTCAGCACCACGCTCACCCAGTGAGCAAACCGGCCATCCCTATATGGGATCAGAACCCATGGCCTTGGTGTTATCAGCACCGCACTCTCCAGAGTGAGCCACGGGCCGGCCCGTCAAATGATTTTCAATAAGGGTGCCAACACCATTTAATGGGGAAAGGACAGTCTTTTCAACAAATGGTGATGGGAAAACTGGATATCCACATGCAAAAGAATGAAGTGGACTCCTACCTCACATCATACATAAAAATAACTCTAAATAGATCAAAGACCTAACTATAAGAGCTAAAACTTATTAAACTCTTAGAAATACAGATGTAAATTTTTTGTGACTTTGGAGTTGACAATGGTTTCTTAGGTGTGACATCAAAAGTATAATTAACCAAAGAAAAAAAGAAATTATACTTCACCAGAATTTTAAACTGTTGTGTTTCAAAGGACACCATGCAAGAAAGTGAAAAGCCAACCCACAAAACGGGAGAAAATGAACGAAAATATTGCAAACCATGTATCTGACAAAGAACTTGTAACCAGAGTGTAGAAAGAACTCATTCAACCTTAAAATAAGACAATTCTGGAAAAATAGTATATACAAAGGAATTGAAAAGACATTTATCCAAAGATACACACAGGGCCAATAAGCACATGAAAAGATGCTCAACATTACTAGAGATGAGGGAATGCAAATTAAAAATACAATGAGCTACCACTTCACAAGCACCAAGATGGCTGCCAGTATAATAAAAAAGGCAGAATAAGTCTTAGCAAGGATATGGAGAAATCAAAATCCTCATAACCTGCTGGTGGGAATGTAAAATGGTGCAGCCACTTTGAAAGACATCTGGCAGCTCCTCAAAAAGTTAAACACAGAGTTACCATATGACCCAACAATTCTACTTCTAGGTATGTACCCAGGAGAACTGAAAACATATATGTCCTTTGGTTAGAGCAGGGTGTTATAACACCAAGGTCAAGGGTTTAGATCCCCATACTAGCCAGCCACACACACACACACACACAAAATTGTCCACACAAAAACTTGAACATGTATGTCTACAGCAAAATTACTGAAAATACCCAAAAGATGAAAACCTAAACGTTCATCATCTCATGATGGATAAACAAAATGTGGTATGTTCATACAATGGAACATAACTCATCCATAAGAAGGAATGAAATACTGATACACAGACATGGATGAACCTTGAAAACATTATGCTAACTAAAAGAAGCGAGACATAAAAGCCCACATACTACTGGATGCCATTTATATGAAATGTCCACAATAGGAAAATCCATAGACACAGAAAATAGATTAGTGGTTGAAAGGCCTGGGAGGATGGCAAGAGAAGAGATCCTAACTGAGAGTGACTGTAATAGGCAGGTGATGAAAGATGTCAAAATGCTGGGTTGGTGGAACTATAGTGGATCCCTTTTTAAATCTTTCTCCATTTTCCAGGTATGATGTAAATGGTGGGGAAACGCTTTATTTACAACAAACAAAAAAAGGAAATTATTAAACTCCCAAATGTATAAGTAAAAATTCCTTAGCTTATTATTCGATGGTCTCAGTCACATGGTCCTCAAAATACCTTCCTTCCCCTCCCCTACAGAAGCAAGTTGAACTCTCTCCTACCGGAAGCACAATACCCTCTATTTCCAGGAGACCTCCAGCTTCTGATTTTCACCCTCCTTTCCAGCTGCTTCATCTTCTCTGTCCTTTCCTCCTCCTCTTCTTCCGCCAAAACAGTAATTGCTAACGTCTCGCGGGACCCTAATGAGGCCTCTATTACACTACGGGGCTGCCTTGCACCCAACCCGCCACCCAGGACTAGGGCGCACACTCTCGGGTCTCTGCGAGCCTCTGACTCCGAGACACCTCCAGCCCTCGACTGCAAAGCAGGTGAGGAACTGCGACAACTCTCCATACACAGAGTCCTTCCTCCCGTCCCCGAAGAGGCCACCAAGACCGAGACAAGGCTGGGAAGGGAGCCGGCGCGGGCCCCACGCGAGACCCAGACCGGGGGATGAGGAGCATCACAGGCATCCTCCTCGAGCCCCGCCCTGGGAAAGGGGTGTCCTGCGCGCCGCCCCTTCCCGGCTCGGGAGAGGATGTGCCAGCCAGCGTACAGGGCCCGCACGGACACAGTGGCGCGGAGGCGGCAGCAGCAGCGCAGACAGCGTGAGAGAGTGAGAGAGAGGGACACTCACCCGCGTCAGCCCAGAGCCCTCACTGCGCCGGAAGTAGTCACCCGCCCGTTGCCAGGGTGAGGAAGCGGGGGTGACGTCAAGCCTTCCTATTAGCCAGTCCCTGGATCACGTGGCCGGAAGCAGGCGCCCGCGCGCTGCTCTGACTCCTCCCCCCGCCTTGGAGCGGCTCACCTGGCTTCAGAGGTGCGCGCGGACTTCACCTAGAGCCTCGTTCTGAGCTGCGCAGGCGCTGTTGCCTCTCTTTCCCGATCCCGCCCCTTAATAAACCCTCTGGTGTGCCTGTATCTGATCCGAGTGCCTGGCTGATCAGCGCTGTGGTATGGTTCAGATTAAGCTGGTCATTATTGATTGAGGTGTCGCTTAAGAGTTTAATTTCACTCAATCCTTGCAGCACCCCTAAACAGTAGGGAAAACTAGGTTCCTGCCTGAATTGCATGTGGCAGGTGGAGGCGGGCCTTGTCCTGGGGAGAAGAAAAATGGGGATGGCCTTACTTTTACCGTCTGGGATCAAACACCAAGACCCAGTAACATTTGTGTAATCCCTTTAATGTTGCCTTGTAACTATTAGCATGAATCCTTTAACATGTAACTAGCCTTAAACCTGTTTTGGGGAAACAGAGATTTGAAAAAGTAGATCAGTATCTCTCCAAATGTGGTTCCCAGATCAGCAGCTTCAGTATCACCAGGGCTCTTCGTAAAAGTGCAGATTCTTAGGCCCTCACCTGAGACTTAACCAAATCAGGAACTTTGGGTCTGGGACTCAACAGTCTTTTTTAACAAGCCCTCCAGATGATTCTGATGCACCTAAACTTTGAGAACCACTGAGCTTAGAGGGACTTTCTCAGTAGCCAGTTGTAGAGATGGAGAGGGTGAAGGAATGAGCTCTTCAGCAGAGAGGGGAGGAACCAAGAATTTGGGCCTTACAGAAATCAAGAAACAGGTCCACAAGGCAGTTTGGGGCTGGGATGGGAATGAGTCTCTGGAACTGACTCCTAGTCTGGGATTCCTAGATTAAAAATATGTTAATTGTTAAGAAATAATTTCTTAACCGTTAGTAATTCCAAATCCATATTCAAAAATTTTAATTGTCCTGTGTATTTTTCTACTAATATTCTGTGTGAGTAAAAAATAAAAGAAAAAAAGCCTATTGTGAAATTTATCTATAAAAATAGAATTTTGGACTTGAAAGCGAATGTAGGAATCTGTTATAGTAAGTGATTTGAATAATGAGTTAAAACTGCTTAATGCTTACATTAACAAATGATGAACAGCAGTAGTGTAGAGGTTAAGAGCAAGGATTTTAGAACCAATAAAATCTGAGTTCATATCTCAGTCCTGCCACTGCCGATTACATCACCTTGAACAATTTACTTAATCTTTCTGTGACTCAGTTTCCATATTTATAAAATGGGGATTATAATCTCTCAGAGTTGTTGTGTGAAATAAATAAGTCAATATATGAGAAATAGAAAATTATCAGGCCCATAGTAAATAATCAATAAATGTTAGTTTTAAAAGAAAGAAAACTTCCACAAGTGCAGATTTGTTACTGTGAAATATGCGAAGAGCCAAACTTCTTTCTCAAATAAATGACATGAAAGTATTTAAGAAACCAAAATGTCCACTTTGCTCTGGGAGTAACTGTTCTTAAAATTTGGAAAATAAACTAGTGCTGCATAACTGGGAGGTAAAGTCTGTATAATAAAAGCATTCATTTCTTCAACAGATAATTAGACCTTACACAGTAGTAAAAGGTGCTAGAAAAATGAATGCTTGAAAGGAGGATTGGGTCAAAGGAGTCAGCAACCAGTCAATCCCAGAAGCCAAGGACATTCAGCTCCCAAGGATCAACTGTACCAGCCACAGGTGTACATGTATAAAGACAAAAGAGGCAAAACTTGTATTCACACAATGCACAGTTTAGACGAGAGACATAAACATATAGTGCAA